TGTCTGACGCGTCTGCCTCCGCGACCCGAAAGGAGAAGCAGCGATGGAAGATGAAGATGAAGAAGATGAAACTTCATCTTATGTAAAGAGTATTTTGTTGGATTAGGGTATATTTTACAATAACTGAGTTTTTCTGACATTCAGTTTTCATAATCTTGGGATCCTTTGTTTTTTCCTTCCTTTCTTCTTGTTTGCCTCCGCATTGTTCCTTCTGATGAGATTCCTTTTATGGTCAGTGTTTGTTTCTTCGATGTGCCGTTTCACCGATGTACACCAAACCACATGAGCAGAGAAATTTGCTCACCCAGCTTCGTTTTTGTTCGCCCCATATCCTGGTTTTCAGGTGGTTGAGATGGCTGCGAAGCGCTGTATCAGGTTTAATCATTAATCATACATGTCAGCCTGATGGAGGCCGTGCAGAGAACGTTGTTACTCCTAAGACGGACTGAGTTTGATCCGAACCGTCAGTACCTGTAGTATGATGTTTTCAATAAAACGTTTATGCGTTATTATCCCGTCTGTAACTTACCAGTATACAATTATTAACTAATGCCATGATTGTGTACATTAAATTAAAACACATGTCTTCAGTTGAGAGGGATGGCGATGTGGAAGAGGAAAGGGTAATGTTATCAAGCAAGATATTTTGGAGCTTCGTGTCGACCAATTTTCAGAGAGATTTGTTGTTTATATTTTCTCGTATAATCCGTCAGATGTCAGGATCTTCAGCTCAGTCTTCTCGAGTCATCACCCTCGTTCAGGGGTGGACGGCATAATGACCCAAACGTAGACTACGAGAAAAGCGGCCGACAGGGCAAACCCACCTATAATTTATTAGTTGACCGTTGCTATTATCAGGAGCCTCAGTTTGTTGCCGCGTCGATCCTAATACCTGTGACCTGATTTGTTGTGATAATGAGTTAGTGAATTATTTATTGTCTGATTTGAGGTTGACGTTTTCTGAAAATCATGGATGACTGAACACTATTGCGTTCCTTATTTCCATGCCATTTCAGAATTCTTAGAGATTTAGTGGTAGATTAACGCGTAGCTCATGTTCATGTTTGCATGTACTGCGGTGTTATTGCTTTTCGTTTTGTTATATATTTCACTTTAATGTTCCCAGTTCTCTTGTTCGAGAGACATTCATCCCATGGCTTAGCATGTTATTCTTTTTCCATATTGACCTCTCTGAAGTAATCCCGAATGGCTTTCTAAAAAACGTCGCTCAAACCATTGCATCTGCTTACCCCATCGGTCGGACTTCTACTTTCTTCTTGGTTGTGATGGAATAAAATCTGTTTTTGGGCGACGTAAGTGAGAATCGTTTCTGAGCGTTTAAAAACTATTTTTTGCGTTAAGTTTAAAAATGCCAGCTTTCCCGAATCGCCTGGTAAAAATACAGCGTAGAAGCTGTTCACTCTTACAGTATACCATGCGTACTGCTCATTTTTTCCTGGAAGCACGCAAATGCATTTTGTGTAGTCGAACGGTATGAACAGTTGAATGAAGCTTTGGGGCAACTAGCAGTGGAGTAGCTCCAGTGTTAATATGTTGCCGACTACCTTCCCAGTAAACGCATTATTTAAAATGGTGGTAACCGGGAGGGCGTTACTCTGATATGTTTTGAACTGCAGTCGCGTTTTATCTTGCTTTTCAAAAATCATTTGTTCATAAGCTGTTTCTCTACAGAATCTAAGAAGCTCCTAAGTGTTTTACCTTAAATGAACCTTTGATTAACTGTTCTTTATCATGGAGACCTAATTTAGTTTCAGCAGGAAGTCCTTGATGATTTCTGGTCCGTCGAACTTCAGTCACATTACGCACATGGGTCCTTGTGAAGGTATCGAATTTCAGCAGTTGATCGATTTGAATCAAGCGAGCAAGAAATCCTCTGGCGGCGGGATTGCAGCAGTTAACGCTTCCAAAGCAGATCGGATGAAGCAGCCTATCGCCGATAGTGTCAGCTACACCAGTCAGAACATGACTAATCGGCCGTCGTCTCTGCACAGTAAAAGTTCCGAAAGTGAGTGTCACAGTGAACGTGATTTTTCCTTAAATGTTGTAATTCCTGTTTTTCTAGGCTCTAGTCTAGAGAAGGATGGCTTTCAGCAATCAACCGGCTCGGATCTGCCTAACTTGTCAGATGTGTCATCAGGGTCCAGTATGCATAAAAGTATAATTTTTTCGTATGTTTCTTTGAGAACAAACGTTTGATGTTGTTTGAATCCAAAGCAGTTTATGCTAACAATTTCAAGTTCTTATTTAGCTGACTGGACTGGTGTAGAATAGGAGATGCTGAGAAATGCCACATTCGATTGAAAAAAGAAACAAAACAGTCGTTCCATTCTACTTTTTTCTCCGTTATTCTTCCGTTACGTCTTCGTTGTTCCTTCTTTCACTATGATGCATGGTGTTAATTTTTCTTGCTCTGTCATCAGCCGAAGCGCTCTATTTTTCAACGATGTATTTACAGATTACTGTAACCTACAATAAATTGCCATTTCAGTGGTTTATTACAGGGGAGAAGAGGTAGATGTTAGTCTTTGTTATTAACTGCCGACGTTTCAGCCAGACATCGGCTTTGGCCGTCCTCAAAGAAAACATCGGCAGTTATAAAAAGATCGCTCTCTGTCTATACTTTGTGTGTAGAACCACTGAAACGGTAGAATACATTGAATGCAATTGAAATGAGTCAGTAATTGATATAGGCTGTGGTTTCTTACTGCCACCATAGCTGTAAGTATTAGTTTAGTTGTTTCAAAGAGATGAAATTCTAGCACACTGATCTGGATTGGGACCCACTTTCAATCGTGTATTCCGACTCTACCGATTGAATTACCCAGCGGGAGGGAAAAAACTGCCTAACTGCTGCTGTATCCTTAACAGGAAAATCTGTCCCGTTGAAAAGACTGACATCTGAGAACTTTAAATGCAAATATCGATACATGTTTGGAAAATAAGTTGGACATATTTGGTAACTGAATTATGTGAATAATTATAGCGATACTGATTCTTAAATTAGGTCTCTCTAAGGAGTTTCTTCATATACTGGCAAAAGAAACCGGGTGTACAACGAATACACATCTTTGGTTATTAGCGAAGGCTGGAAGTCAATTTGATCCGATTCTTTTAATGAGAACTTCATATTGTTTGTTGGTTGACATTCTGGCCAGTCACTTTAATGACATTTTGATTGTTAAATGTTGTTCACTTATCAGATATGCACCTTCGAGCAGTCATTTGTACTTAGCATAGTCCTGATGATGCTGTGGTCTGTGTAGCAGAATATGTCGGCAATAAATTGTTGTATTTAGTGTCCTGAACCATGAATCGTTCAAACACTTATCTAAATGACTATGGGCCCACAATCAAAATTCTGAGGTATTATCTATTAATGCGAATTCCGTTTCATAATTTGTTGCTAACGCTCAGATCTTCATCCATACCAGTTGATAACAGCAGCTTAAATTTTAAGTTCTGGAACTTTCTTTCCTCGTTTAACAAAGACGTCAAAGTTTCATTAAGACTTGCGGATCATGTTAGTTTGCTCAGATTTGTTTTTATGTCCCATTTGTGCTGTAACTGAAACTATAGTTTTTTAAAATCTGTTTTAGGATTCTGAACCGGATTGTCAGAGAAATCAGTGTTGATACATGCTAATTCAAACCGTCCTCGATTGCTTGGCAGAAATCATTTACGGATGGTGTCTGTTTTGTTAAACCCGTGAGATCTTCAGGGACGACGACGTCGGTGAATCGGTGGGCGCACTTAACGTCTAGCATGTGTCCATGTGCCGAGAGAAGTGCAGCACACTTGCCGCGTTGCGCGTTGCAAACGAGGAAGCGATGCCGATACGATGCGATGCGAAGGCTGTTGTTATCCGACTGTACTCTCTTGCCTGATTTGGACTGTTTATCGAGTAGTTTGTTTCATTTGTAACATGATCTACTTCAGTTTTTTACTACATTTCCCGCTTTGCTGAGTTGACGTTCGCAGATTGTACGACTGCCATATCGTTTTCCAAATATTTTTTATTTATTGCGTTTTATAGCTTATTTTTAACGAAGCCGCAATCTTTTGCATTTTCGTCGTTCTGATTGCATGTGTATTCTATTTACTTAAATGCCACGAGAAACAGTAAATTCGGCTTTTATTGTTTCACTGTTCCCGGTGACGATCAGTTAAATTTAACTTAGCTCGTCGATGTGCATTCTATAATCTCCGTTCTAGGAGCATTTACATTAAATATCAGAGCGTTGCGCTAAGCGAAGAAATTCGATTAGTCGAAGCTGTGTCTCTAGCCTGTCGAAAACAGACTAAATAGGTATGACAGATAGACTGGATGAGGTCGTCTTATTGTGCATCCAAAGGCTTTCAGAGATTCGTCTTTGCCAAGTGAAGGACATCACGGTTTGAAAATGGGCGACTTTTCTTTTTGTCAGGTAACAAGATTTGTTTTGAGGCTGAAGCCTTAGTTTTGCAGTTCTCACAAGCAGTAAATGCTTTGATTTCCACTGAATATGTTTCGAAATCACGAGCACACGACAGTTCCCTCCACTAAAGGCTCTGTTTGATGCAAAATGCCAACACTTGGATCCAAAATATGTTGGATCTCATTTAAATAAATATTTGTAACCGTTAAAACGTCGGTTATTTTTACACTTACGAAATGGGACCGATTCTAGCTTGTTTTGATGAAATTGATGGTGGGGACCTGATATTAATTTTATGTTATCAGTCAGGTGCACCTTACTATTTTTTAAAGACAGAAATGACAGTAACTGTGTGACAAGCATGGTCTGTATTCCCACTCATTTAACAACCTCGCAAGGCGAGTGTCTCCGACCAGGCCTATCACTCAGAACTTCTCGGAGTCTGATGCTCTGCAGGCTCAGTAATCCCGGTCTGAAGCAACGTGTGGCAAATTCCTTGCTAAAGGCGACATGGCAAAAACAAATGTTTGGGGTAGAATTTGGTACTTCTGGAGTTTAAATTTCAGGATCTTTGATTATCCGGTGCCCGAGAAAACAGTCTAGTTATCTTGTATCAAACCAAGTGTTTACGTCTTATCCTGTAATCTGGTTTAGCCTATATGTGGTGGACTAGCTGTTGTGGAAAGTCATTTTTTATAAAGCGATTAAAGAAGGTCATAATTGCATAAAGAAGTTTTTCTTTTACATTCGGCCACGTCATTTGTGTACATAAAAAATCGTTCTTCCTAGCCGTTAATGCATCTTAAAGTGGATAGCCGTTACAGATCGATCGAGTAGGTTGTCTGTCTTGTAATGATCTCATATGCCATGCGTATGATTTCCTATGTCACTGGCACTCACAAGTTGTACAATATCACTGATAAGCAAGAGCATTCGTATGCAGAATGACAAACCCTCGCAATACTTGTCATGAACCTCCACAAAATCCATTTATACAGTGGTGTACTCTTTGATGATGACATTGGCCTGTAGTGTTGGAACACGTTAGAGTTAAAGTATTTAACAAAACGTAGGTTTTCGTTTCTCTGTCCACTGCTGAAACTGTAATAAATTTGTTTATCTATTCGGGGCACAAAACAGCGCATGCTCAAAATTTTATTTCTGATGCGTTTCACCGCAGCACCGGTAGCACACAAATGGTAAGACTGACAACAAGCTCTCTCTTGAGAACAAAAATCAAACTTGAGACAGTGGTAGAACATAGAACATTGGAAGCAAAGTGAAAGACAGGTTGGTTTTCGGTCACAGTCATTCGGGTACCTTGGCTTCATCATCTCCAGCAGTGGTACCATTCTGTGAACGTTAAACAGTACTTTTCTAGCCCTGGTCTGGAGTACTTTTCTCAGCTGCGAAATAAGTAACTTTTCACTAAGGCTTGTCTCTACCTCGCTTCGTTGGTTTCTGCGTTCAGTGAGGATAAAATGACAGGACCACGTAAGGAATGACTATTCTCTTCAGGACACAGATGATCTCATCTGGTGTTGAAATTACGAATGTTAGATTGTCCCGGTTAAACAAAGTGTTTGAGTATATACCAGTTGCTCCATCAAATGAGCTTCTCATGTGGAAGCCAAAAGTTGGCAGACGTCGATCAGGATACCAGTATACAATATGAATGAACAATTTGAGGTAAAGCTGCTTCTGGAAGAAATATTTCCTTCTACAATTCAGCAACCGATGCCTTATAGCAAAAGCGTTGTAACGTTGTAAAATAGCGGCATCACATTCAGAGTCGTTCTGCTTATGCAGCCAGCCGAAAGTGATTCAGTTTGGTATATGAAAGCATTAAAGTTGTAAACCCGTAATTTAATGTTTTGCGTGCTCTAATTAATATATAATGTTCTAAACGAAACTCGTTGTTGTGTTGAATGGAAGGAGAGATAGTTAGCACTCCCCTCCACAAGGACGGAATGTATCATCAGCACAAATGGCGGTTACTGCCTACATTTGCAGTAACCGCCACTTTTGTAGCCTTACGAAGACGTCGCCATAACAAAAGTACCAGGACTGATTGCTATTTTCCCTTATTTGGGTGGAATTCGACTGAACAGCATGTGAAGATTCAGTTGTTGACAGTCGTTTTTCATGAACTACTGACGAATTACGTTCATGTGGATCGCAGTCCTGTATGATATTATAAATCATTGTAACAATGCATTTGTGCTAATAGCAAAATTTGGTACAAGCTAAAATAGGTGAATAGAAGGAGAGTCCAGTTTAGTCTCTTTTAGAAATGTTTCCACCATGTTATACCACTGCAATTACCTGATAATCTGAACCATGAATAGATTTTAGCGAGTGATAGCTTATATGAACTGTCAATAATATTTGATACAAAGATTATTCTTTTATTAAAATTCAAGTTCTTGATTCTTCCATCCTCCGTGCGTTGTTATGAGGTGAAACGAGTGCACTCAAACATTCTGATAAAACGGTTAGTTAAACACCGCACAGTCTTTCTTGCCTTGAGCGAAGAACTGAGAAATGCCGTTACAAGCCTTCAGATGAAGAATACTGTTGAGACAGAGTAAATTCCATTTTAGCACACCACGCATAGTGCGAATTCTGCATTAAGTTGCTAATTGCTTTGAAATCAAAGCAATGGAGTATGGTATAGGTGATTAGATTGAGTCTGCTTCATCTTTTTGTTGCTATGGAAGACCTATAGTTTTCGTCCATCATGGTACTCCGTTTAGTTTTTAGACTAGTCTTTGATTATTTCCGCTGTATTCAAACTCCGCCATAACTTAAATCTTTCCATGTTGGCAAAGGAGAAACGTTAATGTCTAACTGATATCCAATAGTTTCAACATA